TCAGGGACTTCCTGAGCTCAATAAGTTTCCCTGATGGAATGTTTCACCTTCCTTTAGAAAAACCTGTGTCTTAACTAGCTTTCCTCCAAGATGGAAGACTTTATTTTGGAGGAATTTGCTACACAACACTCATCCACACCCACATCCATGCTATGTATGACCATGCCTGTGTACATACACACACACACACACACACACACACACACACACACACAAAGAATTTAAACAGACATAGACAGAGACACACAGAGAGAGGGTTCTTTCTCTGGAGAAGTAAAAAAGTTCTAACTTTCTGCCAAAGATATATCACATGGACATGAGCTGCTGTCTTCTTTCAACAAGGACTCTAAGGTTAGGAACTGATGGCCTCCCTCCTCCCTTCATCCTGACATGCTAAAACAAAGATAGATAAACTATATTTCCCCAAGACTTTCCAGTATTATCATAGGTTTGTTTTCTTCTGCAGTGTTTGGAATCCAGGGCCTCACATGTGCTAGTCAAGTGTTCTACCAGTAAGTCAGAGACTCAGCCAGTAGTTTGGCTTTTGTGATAGCCTGGTTGTTCTTGCTTTTCAACTGAAAAGGCTTACAGACTCACTTCTCAGGAACACCCAGCACATGGCCATGGCTGTCAGCAGTCTTGGTGTGCTGGTCTTGGGCCAGAGGTAGTGTGGCCCTCTGTAGCTCTAATCCTCAGTTGCTCCAGGTCTTCACAGAGTTTCTTGTTTGGACCAAAGGCCTGAAGCTCCATGTGTCTTCCCTCCCCATCCTCCTGTCTGTTCAAGCCCCAGTTTTGGCACTGGTGTGGATTCTACATAATGATGGGTATCAGGGCATTCACCTCATTGTGGGTAAGACCTCCTGTGAAGTCAGTGTCTGCTCTTCTCATATCTTTGTCCCTCACCTTTAGCGGCAGTGAAGGCAATGGCTGAGCATTGGAAAAATGTGCTGGAACTTCACAGAGACCATTCCGCGGCCTGGTGCAGGCCCGTTCATCTAAGGAGTCTCTAAGTGGGCAGTGAAGTTAATGTGGTTCCAACAAGTGGTGAGGGAAGAATGAAACGACCAAGAACAGCAAGAGACAGTTCAGTGGAGAGGGGAGGAAAAAGGAGCTGCACACAATTAAAACTCAGAGCTGCTCATATTTGAAATCAAGTCACATAGCTGCATTCTGGCCAACTGGAACCTGGCATGTTGCTCAAGTTGTGTCGAATTGCTGTGGCTTGTTTATAAAGAAACAGTGGGGATATTTTGGAATCCAGATAATCATTCAGCAGACCTAACAATGCCCAGCAATTAAATTCCTTACAGCTTTGAAAAATATGTTGAGCAAAGTTGTCTTTTGCAAACTGTTTTTCCCTTAAAGACTAATGAACAGTGTTTAAAAACCCATAGGCCGTCACATTCGCTTACATTATAATCCCAGTTTCATTCATAAGTTTTATCAAAAATCCAACACTACGGCTGTATCAACATCAGGACACAAAGAGGAAATCTGGCCAACAGTAGATTTGTTCAATTGCCACAGAGGCTGAAGCCATTTCACACAGCACCAGAATGTAATATTTTAAAACATGTCCTTTTATAACCAGTAAGAGCAGTAATAGGAAGGCACTCTAAGAACGGGTAAAGTCCTCCAAGGAAAATGGAAAGGTCTCTTCCAGGGAATCGACGACCTGAGGAAGAAAAACACACATAACTTCCAATCAACATGGCCAATAGTGACTGCTCCGGGCAGACAAGAATTCAAGTAGGCAGCTGGCGAGAGAGGAAAAAGGGATGGTGTGGAGGCATTCATCTGAAATTTTAGCACTGGAGGGGCAGGAGGATCTGGACCTGCTGAAGAGCAACCTGCAAAAGGGAAAAAGAAACAGTTACACGACAGAAAGAACTGGAAGCAGCTTGTGTTTTGTCATCCAGGTTAAAAGGTCTTAAGTAGGAAGTTCAATTCCAGTAAGTGCTGTGAACCAAAGCAAGAGTGAACGTTTATGATTACAAGAGGCTAATTCATACAATTATAAATTACAACTGAATACCCATGTCTTTGCTTTAAGAAGCCTGTGGCCAGGGCTAAGGATGTAACTCAATTGGTAGAAGCTCCCGTAGATGCATGAGGGCTTAGGTTCAATAGCCTAGTGTTGTGGTGAATGCCTATAATCCCAGCACTCAGGAGGAAGAGGCAGGGGGATCAGGAGTTCATGGACATCCTCTACTATATAGCAAGTTCAAGGCCAGCCTGAGCTAGAGATCTGTTAGAAAAAGGAATCCTGTGGTCTCATTTTCTTATTTCAATCTCTAGAAACAAATTTTTGAAATATTTTATTTTTTTAATGTGTATGAGTATATTGCCTGCATGTAAGTAAGTGTACCTGTGTCGTGGCAGTGCCCACAGAGGTCAGAAGACGGGGTCGAACTCCTCTGGAACTGGAGCTAAGGAAGGTTGTTAGCTGCCATGTGGGTGCTGGGAATTGAACTCAAGTCCTCAGAAAAAGTAGCCAGTGTTCTTAACTGCTGAGCCATGTCTCTAGCCCTAGAAGTAAATTTTAAATGAGGAAATTATGGTTTTCCTCCCCATGAAAGAATGAGAAATCAAAAAGGAACAAACTGTCTTATTGAGTTAGAATGCTGAAAAGTGGGGGGGGGGCAGTGGGTGATGACTGAGGCCCAATTACCTAACTGCAATTCCACTTTAAAATCTGAAAACCTCAAGACCCCCTCCCCTCCCCCAAACACACACCATTTATGGTGAGATTATTAAATAGTGATGGTGATTTTCCTTTACATTGTTTTAAAAAAATTCAGTTTTACTTTTAGAAAATTCAAATTTAAAGCTGGGTGTAGCAGTGCATGCATTTAATCCCAGCACTCAGGAGGCAAAGGCAGGTGGAGCTCTATGAAGGCCAGTCTGATCTATATATCGAGTTTCAGGCCAGCTGGGGCTACAGGGAGACCCTGTCTCAAAAAGACAAAAATTTAAACTTATATAAGCATGATGGCAGAAAAATCATAGCAAGTTCCAAGCCAGCCTGAGCTATACACCAAAACCTTGTAACCACTCCCTCCTCAAAAAGTTTTAAATTTACACAATTATAAAGAATAAAATTCCTTCCTATGACCCTACCACCATTTTCCCTCATTATTAACAGTATACATGAGCAACACCCACAGAAACAAAAAGGCAAAACAAACAGTACATACTAATGTCCACTTGTCGCAATGGATAAACCAACATCTACACACTAATTCCTTACTCTTTTGCATTTCCTTGGACTGGCCTTCCTCCCCTCCCTCCTTCCCCATCCCTTTCTCCTGCCCTTCCCTTCTTCCCTCCCTCCTTACCCCATCCCTTCTTCCTTCCCTCCTCTTCCTCCTTCCCTTTTTTCCTTCCCCCTTCCTCCTTCCTTCCTCCTTTCCTGCCCCCTCTCCCTTTCCCTCCCTCCCTCCCTCCCTTTCTCCCTTCCTCCCTTCCTCCCTCCCTCCGTTCCTTCCTCGCTTCCTTCCTCCCTCCTTTTTTTGGGATGGCTCACTCTGTAGCTGGTCTCAGTCCCCACCTCAGCCTCCCCAGTGTTGGGATTTTAGGCGATTTGAGTCCCCACCATGCCCAGCCTTTAGTTATCAGTCTCTCTAATCTTCTCTGGGCTGTAGTAGCTCCAGATTTTTGTTTTTCCTGACCATGGCAGTGTTTGTAGGATATCCCAGGTGCTATCTACTGCTTCTCATGACACAGGCTATGTGTTCTAAGAAGGAAGATCAGAGGCCCAGTCCACGTCAAGGGGCCAGTCAGCATGACATATCATTGTTGGTCTGGACCTTGGTCAGCTGGCTGGAGCAGTGTTGACAGATGTCTCCACTGTCATTATCCTCCTGCCCTCCTTACAGCACACTGTTGAGGATGTCCCTTTTGCAAACTATACTTAAGCAGAGCGCTGGGCTCCCTTCTTGAACTGCTTTGCAGCTTTGCCACTTTGGTTCATCCTCTTTGATCATTCTAGACATGGGGAGGGGAGGTGTTACCCTTCTGGTTATAATCCATTCTCACTTTGGCTGCTCAGACACAGCCCTGGAATTGGCAGTTTTTCTTTTTTTAATCATTTCCTTTCTTTCTGACATTGTAAGATGTTCAGGTCTATCTCGCTGTTTCCTACCCCAGGCCTAGAATCTGGTCTCTTAAGTCCCAGGTGCTCACGCTGGTGAATACCAAAACTCAAGATACACGTGTTGCTGCTGGATACAATCCACCTTTGGAGGAAGGACAGCGAGGCTACTGTAGAGTACCTGTATGTGTGCACAAGGCTGTGGGTTTGAAATTCCCAATGCGAGGTTGGTAGGGGGCCCAACTTTGGAAACCCAATTCCTGTTTGCCTCTTGACAACATAATCTCCAAACTAACACCAGTTTAAGCCAGTGCTTCCAGCTAATGATGCTGTGTTCTCATATGTGTGTGTGTGTGAAATGTAAATATTCACGAATTATACCCTTTATATTTCTAATTCTAGTTTTAATTTTTGGTTTTGAGACATGGTCTCATGTAGCTCAGGCAGGCCTTGAATTCTCTATACAGCAGAGGATGGCCTTGAGCTTCTGATCTTCCTGTCTCTACCTCCGAAGTCTGGGATTACAGGTATGTGCCTCCACTGCTTGGGTTATGCAGGGCTGGAGATGGAACCCAGGCTCTGTACATGCTAGGCAAACCACTCTACGAACCGATTCATCTATTCAAATAAATTCTCTATATCTTAAAGGTAGACATTGGTTCAATTCAGTCTTTTCTTTTCAGACAGGATTCCACTATGTCACCCCCAAAGCCTCCAACCCAGTCTCCGAAGTGTTTGGGATTACAGGCATGCACTTCCATATCCCATTCAGTGTTCTTTTCTAAGAAAGTCTGAGAATTGGCTTTCCATCAACCGCCCTGATCAGGCCCTCTAAAGACGCTAGTTTGAGGAACAGAATTTGCTAATTACCCTGCTTTGAAGGTAAATAAGGAAGGTGCAACATAAATCTTTTTAGGCACTTTTTATTTTCCAAAAAAATTGTCGTTAATATATAAACATCTCATTCTCTCAAAAAATTCTACAACTATACAGCTGTTTGCTCCAATATTTGCATAGGAAATGACCACAATACAAAAATAAGAGGGGAAAAGAAGCAAAACAGCAACCGATTTATGCTTTTTATGTAGGTATGTTTCCACGTATAAACATCTTGAAGCCTCTTACAAAACTATTTACACCTTTTTCATCTATTTACATGTTGAAAGAGCAACTTTTCTAACAAACAAAACTATAATTTATCAAGTTATGAAAATTGTTTTCTAAAAAAACTTACTATATTACCACAAAATAAATAATGATAAACAATATTTTAAAAACAAAATTAAATTTTCATTTCAATTAAGACCGCTTTTGGCATTTTGCTTATGATTTCTGCCCTTTGGTTAACAGCGTCAGCATCACATTCCCATTGATAGATAGTAAAGGCAGACACCGAGTCAGTATTAACAATAGATTAACTATACTGCACTGTAATTTCAATAAAATTACTGTGTCTCACTGAATAGCACATGCAAAACCCACATAAATTGTCATTTAACCAACAGTACTGCACGAGCAAACATCCCAGTACAAGAAAACTGTATCATGAATTCAACGTTTCCTCAAGTGAAAACGGTCTCCTAAGTTCAACATCGACATACATATGTAAAAACCGTGTCAGTCATTCCCCCCCTTTTAAAGATGATACTGTTTAGCTTATGAAGAGGTTTAACTTTTGTGTAACTATCTTTAAGCTCTTCAGTTTAAATTCATATAAAAACATCTTTCATATTTAAAATAAACAATCTTATTTCAATCATGTGTGAAATTTGCTTTTTAAACGTTCATTTAAATGATTATCCCCCCCCCCAAGGAAATGGATTTGGTAACATTCTTGAGAGGTATCTTACCACAGATTCTAACTGTAAATGTATTCAGTTATTTTCAAAAGAAGCATGATTTTTTTTTTCCGAAAACAACCCTTAGAAACTTGTAATAAACCTATAAAGCTGATTTGCATATTTACAAAATTTTGAATAGCAAATATAGGCAACTCATATATAAAAAACAAAAACACATTTGTTCAATGGCTATTTGTGAATTGCCAGGTACGCTGAGTACCTCTAAGGAAGTAATCTAATATTGAGAAAAAACGAGTCCCCGTCAAGTAAAATCTTGACAATCTGTCCTTCGGGTGCCTGCTAACTGGTCTGTCTACTAAACACTGTCACGAATGATTGCGTGTGCAGTCTAGGTGAAAACAGCACACACACACCCTGTGCCCCTACCGATTCCCCATGCTGAGATCCCGCTGCCTGTCTCGAGATGAAGTCTGCTGAGGAAAGCCAGCCATGTGCATGACAGCAAGCTTCCAGGTTCTTAAAATGACCAAACACTTTGGTATTAATACAATGTATTCCCTGTGGCCTCAAATATACAAAATATACATTTCCAGTTCTTCTGATTTCATTTTTATATGAAGTTAAGTCTGCGGTTTAAAGGGTGGCCGAACGGGCTGCGAGGCGTGTGCGGCTAGCGCAGCGCTCAGTTCTGGTGGCGCTTCATGTGCAGCGCCAGGTGGTCCGAGCGCGAGAAGCTGCGGTTGCACACCCCGCACTGGAACGGCTTGGCTCCCGTGTGCTTGCGGTAGTGGCGGGTCAGCTCGTCCGACCTGGCAAACCTCCAGTCGCAGCCCTCCCAGGTGCACTTGTAGGGCTTCTCACCTGCGAGGGAAGAGACAGGGTGAGCGGCGTGCTCCCAGCAGCAGTGCTCCCAGCCACAGTGCTCCCTCCCGCCGCCCTGGCCGCCCCAGAACAGGGCGCTCTGCCTGCTTCTAAAAGCGGAGGAATGGGCCGCGCCCACACCTTTAACACCATCCACACCTTTTAACACCAGCACCCCGTGAGTTCCAGACCAGCCGGGGCTGCACGGCTCCAGAGGGAGACCCTGCCTCAAAAAGTGAGGACCCCCACAAGAGAGCTGAAGAAACGCAATTTTAAATTAAGTCAAAAATGTACCAATGTCCCCATTTTTATGAACTTTGGCATGGATGGATCCTTAAGGTGTCCAGGTGAGCTTGGGTAACATTATCACTGTGTAAGCAGGAGTCTACACACACAGCCCTACACCTCAGTTACTGTGTAAAACTAACGGCTGCATGAGTGAGAGAGCTAGCTGCTCCAACTCACCACCATCTCAAGCCCCACGCTGCCTGGCCTAAACCTGCTGGCAGCCGTTCTGAATTGGGCACCGAGCAGAGATTCCCAACACAGAACCCCAGACTGAGCTGAGGATTCCAAGATGTTCTGGGGATAGTCATCCTAATCTAAACAGGGTCTCTCTCATGTAGCCTAACTAAACCGGCCTCAAATTATGCAACCGAGGCCGGCCTGGAACTCCTGATTTTCCTGCCTCCACCTCCCAAGTGCTGGGCTTACAGGAGTGTGCCAACAAGCTGTGTTCTCATCTGAACCTTTTTTATACTCTCACAAGCATACACATTCATGCAAGCTTTTTCCAGACTGGGCCGAAAAAAAGCTAGAAAAAAATTTAAAGTTGAGTGGCTTTCCCTAAACCTTTTGCTGTTGATATTTAATAAATTCCTTACCTAAGTCTGGTCCTGATAAATTCACACAGGTTATGAGTCAGACCATGAAACAGTTATACTGTGTGTTGAGGTGCTGAGGATTGAACCCACAGTCTTCAGCATGCTAGGCAAGGGCTCTAGGACTGAGCCACATTCACAACCCACCATAATTCTAACATTTGCTGGTAGGTGCACTGAATGTTTCTGTGTCAAGTGTTGATCTACAAAGGTTGTCAAGATTTATTCTATAACAATTTGCTAAATGTCTGGTAGTCCAGGCCATAACAAATGCGTGAGATACCACCCAGAACAAAAAAAGCCCTGGCCTCGGGGAGCTTACATGGATCATACCTAAAAACCCAACCCCATCTTTCTGTTCTGTATTCACATCTCTCTTCATCTAACAGTCAACTGATAGTGGGCCAATCCCCCAGAACACCATGTATAATTCCTAATGTTCTTCTGAGTTTACCAGACACTTAACTTTCAAAACTACTTAATATTCATAATGCAGTTTTTAATTCAGTTTTAGAATTGATCCTATTAAGATGTATTCAATATAAATCCCCAAACTCAAGTCTTTGAGCATTAACTAGTCCTGCCTACATTTACTATTGTTTTATGGGATTCATTCTCGTGAATAACTTTCCCTGATTTCCTTTTTAAACAAAAGTTTTCTTCAAAGAAACTCCATGAGCTTCTGTGTGAGTGTCCACAGTGGTAGTCCCCAGCTTGTAGCCAATGTACCCTGTTCTGTTAGCACTGTGACTCTAGAACCTCACAGGACAAGAATGCGCCACATGAAACTCAAAGGATTCCACCTTGCTTCGCAAATCCACATCCCAGTCGCCCTTCTGTACCCTCTCTTCTGGCTCTGACTTAAGGCATATTTAAAGTTAGGCCCAGCCTGCCTGGAAATCACTCTGTAGACCAGGATGGCCTTGATCTCAAGATCTACCTGCCTCTGCCTCCAGAGTGCTAGAATTAAAGGTGTGCACCATCACACTCAGAATTTATCATTCCATTTTTTAAACTGCACATTTCATCCAGGCTTGGTGAATGTACTGTCACCCCAGCAGCTGGGAGACTGAGGCAGGTGGAAGAAGAGTTTGAAGCGAGTCTAGGCTATATAGCAAGAAGCTGTCTCAAAAAAGAAAGCAAAATGGGGGCTGGAGCGATGGTTCAGTGGCCAAGAACACTTCTTGCTCCCGCAGAGGACCTGAGTTCAGTTCCCAGTATCCACAGCAGGCAGCTCACAACTCCTGTAACTCTGGCTCTAGGGGATCCAATACCCCGGTGGTCTTGGACACTCAAACACACGTGGTATATACACATACACACACACACACACACACACACACACACATATACACATAAATTAGAAAATGTAAAATAAAGTAGTCATAATTCTAGATTCTTCCTTCCTCATAGATTCTTTGTGATCCTCTTTTGAGTAAACGTTTCACAATGTAGCCCAGACTGGCCTTGAACTCAAAACAATCCTCCCACCTCACCCTTCTAAGGGTTGGGATTACAGATGTGTACCTGACTTCTTCACAGTAAATTCAATTTAGAAAGTTAAGCTAACATATTCAACAACATAACAGATAAGTCATTTTTCTTTACTTTATATTCATACAAAATGTTGGATGCACAGAAAAAATTTAACACTGGTGGTAAATGTCCCATTTGCAGATGTCAGTACTTTTGTTCCTTGTGAAAATAAATCACAACAATAAGCAAATCAGCTAAAGGCTTTCCTGACAGTCAGCAAGGAAAGGGCTATTGCTGATGTTTGAAGCAGGGAAAAAAAACTTTTGAGTCTCAATTTTAAAAAGCATCATTCAAGTCTTTTGAATTTAATAATTACATAGCAGGAGAACTAAATTTTCAGTTCCTTTTAGAAACAGGAGACACTGGACTCTTTTTTTGTTCATTGTTTTTATTGGCTGCAAAGCAATAATCTACATCAATATTTTCTAAAGTTTACTTTTCTGACTGGTTGAAATACAGTAGCCATTAAAGTTCCTAAAACATTTGGGGTTTTGCTCTCAATTTATGTGCATCTATAGATTATTCAGCCAAGAATACTACCAGTGTTTGGAAAGGTAGTTACTGGGGCCAAGACTTACTATAAAAGCAAGGACAACTATTCCCCACTTGGGGTGGTTTCTATGGGATTTGTTCAAGTGTCAACACTGTTCAAGCAAAACATCATAGAGGAAGCTGGTACCCAATTTCTGGCCAAAGAACAGACTCCAGCCTTTTTTCCTCAGCCAGAAACACTATGCACAGTACTTCTGGGAAACCAAACTGACTTCCTCCAAGTTATATTTCAACAGGATAGAGCTTTCAAAAGTTTAATTGGATTTTTACAGGATCTCTTTCCAATACCACCAATTTGAAATATTTAGTTAAGCTCTTTCAACATCAACTGTATTTTTAAGTTCTCGTGCTGTTAATGTGAAAACTTTCCAAAGGCAAAGAGAAAACAGTGACAAGTTTGTACAGTCTGAAAAACCTCCTTCCACTTTATCTCAAAGCATGCCATTTTCTTCTCTACTTTAAAATTATAGGACTAGTTAAAAAAATCCCTAATCTCAGAAAAAATGCCCAAGCAAAACATGTGCACTACTCACACTGAAAAAGCCATTAGCATACTGGGTAAAAATCTCCAGCAGAAAACACTACCAGTAAAAGGCAGAGTGGGTGCAGGAGCCGCCACCACTGTTCTGGAACATGGTGAAGGACTTCTCACTCAGTCCTCACCAGCAACCCAAGTTAGAAGCTGACCAATGCACTCCACATTAAGAATCCTGGCCTGCCACTTTCTTTAATGTCTCACTTAAGTCTTCCATTAGCAAACACTATTACACTCTCTTTGAATGATTCAAAGAACACAACCGTATTGTTCAAATTCACTTAGATTCTAAACTCACTCATGGAGGGTAAGAGATGCCTAATGGACTCACAGCCACCTTAAACCCCAGACTGTACGAAGTGCTGGGAACAATGTGACTGAGCCAACCCTTTTCAGAGACCCATCTTTTGGGGTTTCAGGAGGCCCTGAAAACTGTTCTACATTGGCACTGGCAATCCCCAGATGTCATCCTAACAAGGGTTCTTTTCTCCCAGATTAGATGACTTTCAATAAATATGGTTAGCAGAATGCCTGGGAAGGATTCAAAACATCCAACAAGAAACTACAGTATCCCTTTTTCTCTGATAAACAAGATTTTTAAAATGACTTCTGAAGCTACTACAATGGAATGGGAGGTTTCTCTGCTCTGTTGAACATATTGAATATGTTCTCTAAGAAGGTCTGCATATTCATGTAACAAAAGAAAAATAAGAGAAATATGTCTTATATTACTTAACAATAACTGCAAATTTATGCTTCCTTCTTGATGACCTAAAGACAATTTAATCAACGTATAGTAAAGATAAAAACTCAAAACCACCAGAATTAATACCAGTGCTCATTAAACAGGGTACTAAATGTCTAACACAGGAATCTGTCTGTGACCCATGATGTTCTCCCCATCATCACAGATGCATGGGAGTTTATCTCTGCAATAGGCTCAATATCAGATTTGCTTCTAATAATCAAGAGGGAAAACCAGAAACCACTGGAATATTGATGGAAAAATATTATTTAGATATTTGAGAAAAGAGAGTAGAATGATTTTGGCCCAATAATTCATATTTTTATACCACTGTGTGAGTAATTTTCCATTACAAGACTCTATTAGAGTTCGTCGCAGTAGGTGCCTACACTTATAACAGAAGAGGTTCACTTTAAAGAGTCAAACACTAGCTTCGCATCAGTAGAGGAGAGCAATGTAAAGAATACTAAGAATTCCTTCTTCATCACATCTATCAATTCATTGGCTTCTTTTAAATCCAATTCATCTTACTCCCTCTAGGAAACCTGACAGACCATGAGGGACCATGCCACTTCTCTGTATCCGGGGTTAGGGGTATGGTTCAATGGTGGAGACTGTGATGATTATGAACAGGGTTGTGGGTTCAATGCCCAGGTCAAATGAGGTGTTCTTGCACACATTGTTTAATGAAGCCTTCAAGTGGCTCCCTTGTCTTCCTGACTATGTTTCAGTTCCAGAGGGGCAGAGCCAT